ATGAACAATCACCGATAGCATTTACTCCCTGAACAGCTGCTTGTCTTTATACCCAAAGACTGGGTACCACACAACCAAATGAATAAGCAAACTTAATCATTTACATCTCTCTCTCTCCTCTATCAGTACTGCAATTTGGATGTGGCTAGGCACATTCCTTTGTGGTATTGCAATTTCACTTTTAAGGAGTGTAATCAATTTTAGTTTAATAGTTTCAAGAATCAAACAGTTTTTAATTACTTTTTCTTAGTTTATTATAAACACCCATGTCTGTGATATCAAGCAAATATTTCAATTTTATAAAATTTTTAGAATTAAAAATTCATCTTATAATTTCGGTTTTTTAAGTACTGTACTTTCACAAGTATTTTGTCATCAGACTGTAACTCTACACTAAAATAGAAAAAGTGTTAAGAAAAACAAAGCAATTTCTTTTGGAAAATTTATTACTACGCTAAATGCCTTTTACACAAAAATAGCTTATTATTTAAATTAATCAAAATTAACAGCTAATCTTCAAAATTAAATGTAAATCCAACCTACTTCTTAGATGCTTCACTTTTAAAAGTTACTTCTTAGATGCTTCACTTTTAAAATTTTTATTGTTTTACACACACAAATGAAATTACTAAAAAATTTAATTAAATATTGTTAATCAGCTCTCTGTTAACTTTTAAATCTTTTTTGTTAATTTCCATTATTACTCATTTTCATATATAGTGTGTTAAATTTATTTGGTATGCTTTGTTAATGATTTTTAATTTTTTGGCTATTCATTAAGAATATTCTGGTACTGTTGATTCTAAATAAGATCACTTCCTTTTAAGTATAACTTCCTTTTGCAGAGTAAGTTCAGCCAGAAAGTTATCAGTTTTCTTGTATTGTTATCACTTATACAATTCACGGAGAAGAAAAATGAACATTTTTGGATTTTATTAATTTTACATGTTTGTAATTCTTAAGACTGTAAACTAAAGAGAGATGTATTAATATTAAATATAGTATTCAATTATTTTTATTTATGAAATTTAAATGTTTGTATACAACTAAATAAAAAGAAAAAGTAACAAACAATGAATGCAACTGCCTTTATTGGAATAAACATCAAACATTGTTTACAAATCATGTTCCTTTAACAGGTTCCAAAAATATTGACAAGTAAATGCAATATAACTTGTTTTGATCCTATCTGCAATTTAGCAACAATGATAAACAGCCTATACTCTGGCTATATATATATATATGTTTATGTATATAGATATATATATTTATATATAATTTCTTGTTCTAGGAAAATTAAAGTAAGTAAACATTCTGTTTTTACTGACAAGGAATGCTTGTTAATTCTGTAATACTGCAGAAAACAAGTAATTCTAATCAGTTGAAACAGAAAATGCTAATTTGCAGAGGGGATCAATAATTTGTACCAACATACATTTCTATAGAGGCATAACTAGGCACCAAACCAACTTCAAAATATGAGTCAGGAGAGTTAGTTTTCATTTTATAGTCAACAGATTTTTTTTTTATCTGAATTTCCTGCTTGTAAAAGAGCACCAAAATATCTCAGTGCTTGTGTAAATACATAAACATTAAACATCTCAAAAGTGTAAACCCTGAAACACCTTACAGAATACTTATCATTTTCCTGTCTGCCATAAAGGCTTTCCTGGTCTGACAGACTTATTTAAAGAAGGTACAACCTATATTTTTGTATAAAATTTGGTTGGTATTGCTTGTAGTCTGTCAGTTCAAAACCTGGTGTTTTGTGTGTTTCTGTATTTCATGTATAGAAGTGTATGTGAGTGTCATGTATGCATGTGTATGTATTTTAATAGGTAGATATGGATTAGTACTATTATATATATAGTATACAAAATAAATGAAAAAATCATCACAATCTCATATTGAAACCATGCTAGCGTAAAATTACAAGTGTCAAAAATTCACGTACTGAAAAAGTATACTGCATAGCTAGAACATAAAACTGTCAAAAACAATTTAATTCTGAAAATGAACTTTGATATAAAATTATCATTATTTTCAGCAGTTGATCCCTGGCAGTAGTGTTCTAATAATAATAATAATAATAATAATAATATAATATAATATAATAATAATAATAATTGTAAACTTTCTTGGAATTTTTTCAACTAATAAAGTGAGACTATCTAAATACGTGACAGATTTTTATCGAAAATAAGCATGTATGTTGGAGGTAGCATATAATTTGTTTCTGTTATCATCTTTATAAATGAATAATTATTGCCACAAAAAAATAAGCACACCATAAAATGCAAGTGTAACAACACTGAAGTAGTAGTAAATATATATATATATTTTTTTTATATAATTTTCTCCTAATAATCTTTATATCTAACTCTTCTAAACTTCTCAAATAGTATATTTTTAAAGCCTCACTTGCATATCACTGTATAATAATGAGTTGCCCCATAAAAATATTGTGCTCCAAAGTTAGTTATTTAAATTTATTCAAAAATAAAAATAAAAAATAATAAATTTTCAGAGTTTGGTTAATATATTTAGAAATATTGCAGCAATCTAAGATACTCTGATTAATAAGAATATTAAGTTAAATATAATTTGATATGAGATAATGATTTTAAATCAATAAAATTATTTCTCCTGACAAATAACCACACAAATAAACAACATTTATATATATATATACATATATATATAAAAAAAAATTTTTTATCAGATCAACATAGGGAGCAAATTAACATGGGGATTTAGCAGTGCTTTTGAGTAAAAAAAAAAGCAACAGCTATATATATATATGACTACAAATCAATTTGAATTGTGACATTAACTACAATATAATATATATTTATTTTTTCGGTTTCTGTTCATTTCAAACAGAACATTTCACTTGGAATTATTGCATACAGAACTTAATTTTATTGACTATAAACGAGTACAGGGCAGGAAATAAATTAAACGACTAAATTATAATCTAACTCATATTCAATATAATAATACTTTGGAAAAACAATGAATGAAAAAATATATATATATATATATTAGCAAGATAAAAAGGAATCTAAATATTTCATTGAATGAATTTGAAGATATATTTCAAGAAATCAAAAAGAAAGCCAAAGACTGATGGTATTTTGTACAATAAATTATATTGGAATCAAAGCAAAGACTAAGTACTAAAGGAAAAGATTTTTTTATAGTTAAAATAAAAGATTTAACTAAGTCCAACTTGGACACTATCTAAAGGAAATAATATGGAAAAGGAATACAGAGAATTAATTTTAAAACAATCACTTATCCAAACCCCACTCAATAATCTGGTAATTATGTTGGCTGCCTATTAATGTAATTCTGACTAGATTTATTTTGTTTATGATAAAACATTTTTAAAGTCTTTACCTATCATTCAAGAAAAGGAAAGCTTGGAATGTCAGTAAAAATAACAAAGCTAGTAACATTGGGGAACAAACATAGTTACCCCTGTTATTTTTATAATTAAATGAACAAATTCTATATAACAATATTGAAATTTGTCCAGACTGCAACCATATTCCCTGCATTCCTTTTTTGTTGTTTTGAATTATCCATTATTGCAGAATGTAAATAACTTATTTACACCCAATTCTCATGACATGGGAACACACGAAAAAGTTGCAAGCTAAAAATTATATATTTGGTCTGACCGACACTTCCGGTCACACTTTGAATTAACAATAGATGATTGACAAAAAAAAAAAATATAATAATAATAATAATAATATAATAATAATAATAATAATATGATGAAAAATATTAAATATAATTGTATATGAAAATGTATTAAAATAATAAAGAATACCAAATAAACACCTAACAGTCAAATAAAGGGTAATGACACAAAATGACCAATAAGCCTAGATTTGTGTACTTCCCATTTTTAATATCAATTTAAAAAAGTCTGAAGAGTGAGTGTTAATAGGATCATTCACAGAAACAGAACTCTGCAGAAATAATATCATATGTAATTATTTTCCTTTCAAGGTATGTGAAAATTCTACAAGCAAAAATGTGCATGGGAAGACATTATAATATATTGACTAATCCCTGGATTTTTCTGCAGGTACTATGGTGTTGTTTCTTCTACACTCACTCACAGAAAAACAAAAATAATAATAATAATAATAATATAATATAATATAATAATAATAATAATAATAATAATGCAGACATTTATATCAACTAAATGGAATTGTGTTATATACTTTAAGCACAAATTCCAATTAAATTTGATCAGTTAAATGGCTGCATTGTTGGCACTCGCACAAAACTGCTATGAATTTTATCATTGCTTTGGAGAAAACAGCTCCAATATGAAGAGTGCAAATAAACCACAGTAATTTTAAACATTCCGTATAAGGACTAGGATTTTGAAATAACTTTGAATACATTTCTTTTAAAAATAAATAAACTTCTTATTATAAAGTCATGACTTGAATAGCTTTCAATGGACAAAAATTTACAAACACAATACTAAAGTATATCTGAAAACAAAAGTAAACAATATTAATTTATAGTAGCATATAGTCACAAATATTCTTTAAAAAACAGGAAAGAATTAAAGGAAAAAAAAAAAGATAAAGAATAATAATGGTTACTCTGATGGTGTATATATGGTTGTTTCTGTTATTGGCTATTATTAAAATATCAGCTCAAAATGGAGCAAAAATTTCACAAATATCAGTTTAGTAATTACTGGAGGGCAAAATTGTTTTAAAACACACCATAGACAATCCATTCTATTTAAGTACCATTCAAATTCTCCTCCAGCATACCTAACAAAAATAGATATAAGCTAAGTAGTTTGTATACAACCATATTAACCCAAGAGTAATTATATAAAGATCTTTTTAGAATTTTCAAAACATATTTTGTGTGTATGTGTGAATATGTGTATTCTTTAATAATAATAATAATGGAGTTAAGATTAAAATGGCGGAATCGATTTTTGAAAGTTTAATGNTTTATTTATATATATATAAAGTAATTTTTAATGAATATATGGACAAATCCAAACAAATTACTATAAAGTCAATAAGTGTAAACAAACTCAATGAGCAGATAGTTATATCACAGGCTCCATAGGCCTACTTCATGGAATGACCTACAACTTTTTAAAATTTATTTTAGATTGATTTTTATCTTTGGCTAAATATAATAAAGAAATAATCTTCATTTTTAGATCAATCCAAATTTCAATATTTACCATTTCCAAGTTATTAAGAATGCAATTACTCTACTGTCCAATGCAGGAACAGTTATTAATAAAACTAGAACTAAATGCCTACTAACATTCTTTATGCAATTATCCATCATTTCTCATGTCTTCAGTAAATATTGGCAAAGTTAAATCTCATTATTTAAAAACAAATTTAACTACATAAAATTTTAAATCTGACATGAGTCTTAAGGTGTTATAATCAACCATACTTCTATAACGGACAACTTTGGATTTTATCCAGGCACTTTTCTGTATATATTTTTCTACCAATGTGCATTAAACATTAAATGCAGAACACAGTCATCCTAGTGGTAGCAACTAGTGTCTGTAGTAGACTGCATATCTGTGCTTCTATTCATTCACATGATGTATAATGTGTTGAGAATCAACATGTGGTGATTATTTTTAGCAAGGGTAACTATGTAACCTTCTGATGTTATTTTTAGACCACAGCAACGGCTAACTTTAACATATGGACATTCAAATTCTGATAAAATTGACCCTTCACGCGAAAACACAACTACATGAAATCTATTTCCATGACTGTCACCAACAAGCACATCTCCCGCATCACTGATATCAATACCATTTGGAAAATTAGTAATATTTTCACATCCAATACGTCTCACAAACTGCCCATCTTCACTAAACACAATAACACAATGACCTTTAAAATCACAGATGTAGTATTCTTTACCACTGATTGCAATATCAGATGGTTCTCTCATGTACTCACTGCAATCAAACCAACGAACTAATTCTCCACTTTCCGCAATCACAAATACTGTTGGAGAAACACTGTCAACAGCCACAATATTACCTTCGCCAGTAATTGCTAATCCAGCTACTATATCAATATAACGAATTGCTATCTTCTTTATAAAATGCCCAGTTTTAGTAAATAGCTGCATACGGGACCTTTCACTTCCTCGATCACAAATCACAAATTTTCCTGAACTGCGAATAACAGCCACCTTAGAAAAAAAAAAAAAATTATATAACTAAAATTATATATATATCAACTTAAGCATTATCTTCTGTAACTAGTAATCTGTGTATGAACAATGACATAGCAAGTATACAAAATTGCAAATTCTAATTAACAAAAATTTACTATTTTTTGTATTGTAATAAAACAATAATATAATTAATAATTAAAAACAAACTTAAATATAAAAATATATTTTAAAATATACTTTTTTATTAAAACTTTATATATTCATTTATTGCTTTCCAATTGTAGATCTGAATGTTTCAAAAATATTACTTGTTTAAAATCAACATTTTTCTTTTTGATACTGAATGATATTGTTTCATCTTTTAACCCAACTGACAGCTAATGACTATTACCAATAAACTAATAAAAACTATGTGAATAGTTGATTATGTTTTTATTAATAATTAAGTTAGAATACAGAACCATGAATAAATTTAACTTAAAATTGTGATTAAATCTACTTTTAATCAACATAGCAAAGAAAAAAAGTTAATAATATATAAAATAGAAATATACATCTCCAATTCAAAAAATACACAGGAAGACTAAAACATCTTGATTTTCATCATGATGAATCACCAGGAACAAATCTTCCATTGCAAAGACTACCTTTTATTAGAGGCTACACCCCTGCAAATTTTGTCTTTTTTATACATTTTTTAATGTGTTAATTCATCAGCCATTTGTTTAAAAGAAATTACTGTATATTTCTGTCCTATAAGACGATCCCAAACTATCAATGGCCTATGAATTTAGTTTAGATCAGCAATCATCATCTAGATAATAATACTGTAAGGTGTATACGGAATTACAGCTCTCCCTTAATAGTCCGATAGGTATGGGACCAAAGGGGTGTTGGATTACCAAAAGTGTCTGGATTACCAAAAATAATTATATATTTAGCATTCTTTTGCTAACAGTAGCTTACAATATTCCCTACTCCAACTGTTCGAACAGAACTGCTCACAGAAAACACACAAAATGTATGTCATCGTGTAAGAATTGGATGGGGAGATTCACGTCGCAACATGCTTCTGTGCAAGCAGACACTTAACGGGGATGGGTACCTTGACGGGAGGTGTGTCGGACTGCTGAGCATGTCGGATTAAAAAACGTCGGACTATCAAGGGAGAGCTGTATGTCCTATTCATAATTTTTTTAATGAACAAATTTTATTTTCTTGCATCTGGCAGCATTGCCTTGTGATTGTTGCAAACATTCACACTGATTCGGGCATTTGGGTAATGACCTCAACTATTCACAAATACATTATATGGGCTATTCTATTTTGTGGACATACCTTACTCTCTTCTACTAGTAAATAATTACAGTTTGTCCATTTTTTTATAATGGTTTTAATTTATATAAATTTCAATCTAATTTTTTTTTGTATTATCCTATAAGATGATTTAACTATCGCCTTATCTGCAGAAATATACAGTACACATTATTTTAAAATTGTTTGGCCTGTCACCAGTGAACTTTTAAGAGTGTTTTGCATGTTTTGCAGGAGACCTAGCCTCTAATAAAAGGTTGTCTCTGCAATGGAAAACTGTTGTTCCTGGTGATTCAACATAACAAAAATCAAGACATTTTAGTCTTCTCTACATATTTTATAATGTGTTAATTCATCAGCCATTTTTTGAGAGAGATTAAAATTCTTATTTATTTGACAGAAAAAAAATGTAAACAAATGTAATTATTCTCTACTTCTACATACTTTAATCATGTTTAAACAATAAAATAAAACACTTATGTATTAACTATAAACAGAAGTATAGTCTGCTGTATTATAAAGAGAAGGAAAGTTATTTGTATAGTATAGTTTACTTGATTCTAAGAAAATATTTTCCTTTGTATTATAAATTTTGCCTCCTTTTTTCATTTACACAATATTGCCCTTACAATATTGTGTAAATGAAGCCCTCTATAGTTGTGGATGAAATTAGGGATGTCTTGATACCAATATTGACACTTTTCCTTGGTTATTCTTACATTTCTCACAGATAGATAAGATCTGACCAAAATTGGATTTTGCAGCCAAATCCAAAACCAAAACTTACACTATTTTTGGTTAAATTAAACTTATAGTAAATATTAATGACCAAAAATTAACAATTTTATTACATCAAATTTCATTTTCATAATGTACAGTACACTCATCGCCATAAAAAAATAGCACACCAAGAAGGAGTTGTCAGAATTGAACAAAATTGTATGTTTAACGGTGATATAAGTAAGTGATTACAAAATGAAAGCAAAAAGATTATTTATTGTAGGAAAACCTACAAATGAAAGGAGGTTTTAGTACCCTATTAGGCCAACTCTAGCATGAATACACAATGTGATACAGATGGGCATAAAGGTATACAGGTGCTATATGGTATTCAGTCCACAGTTGCTGCATACAGTTCTCTAGTTTGGCCAAACTCCTAGGATATCCAACTTGGCATCCCAGGCATGTTCCGACCAATAAATCAGAAGACAGGGCAGGCCAGGGAAGTGTGGCAATTTGGCGGAGAGTCCTGTGACAGCCTTGCTATGTGATCGAGCATTTTCTATTTAAAAAATAACTCTCTTATATTAGTGACATCCCTCAGCCGTACATGTTGCATCTTATAGCCCTACCATAAGATGCAACATGTACGGCTGAGGGATGTCACTAATATAATGCTGGACTGTTCTGGCCGCTTGAATAACTACTAGAAGTGACTGGCTGTTGTGTGTGATGGCACCCCAGACTATCACACCAGCAGAGGAGGCAGTGTGCCACTCCAAAGCATAGACAGGATTGAGGTGTTCACCACAAGGCCTCCATACATGAACACAGCTCATTGTCAGTGCCCAAATTGAACCTGAATTTGTCACTTTAGAGGACCTGGTTCCTTCCCATTGGAGTCAAATCCCATTGAGAATGGCATCACTTCAAATGAAGGTGAGGGTGGATGGCTGTTAATGGCAGAACATCTAACAGTTGCTGCGATACCAAATGTTCCTCACCCAGGCACCTTGAAATGGTGTGGACAGAAATGGATCTGTAAGAATGTCGTCACCTGTGTTTAAATGGCAGACAATGATACAGGCCAGCTATGTGCATGCTTGTTGGAGGACCAGGTAGTGGTCTAGGCTTGGCTAGTAATCTGCTGAGGGTATCCTGAGTCTGGGTACCATGAGTACAAGCTCTCTCTCATACACTGGTCACAACAACACCATCCAGCTTCTCTCAATCTGATGATCCTTCTCCTATCAAACTCAAATTAGTTGTTCATATGGTCTTTGATTGTGATATAAAAGCATCTTTAGTCATACAGCATCCCTCTCCAACAGGTAAACTTCAGACAAGTTGCCTTTGTGCATTTTTTTTATAGGCCAAGAGGATGGATGCAGTTTAATGCCCTTTGCTGGCATTACGCGATGTGGCATCATGCTATAACTCTTAATCATTTCCATATCTGCTTGAAATTTATCTGCATGCCAAGTTTCACAGTGATACAACAACTCCTTCTTGGTGTGCTAATTTTTATGGCAATAAGTGTGTGAGAATCTGGGACCAATACTTTTATTGAAATTTTTATTATTACAAAAATATAAAAATAAATAAATAAATGGTATTTAAAGAAAGAACTTTCTCCAACTTAAACCAAGAAAGTTTCTTTCTCATTATGTGATTCAAATCGTCCCTGTCTACTGAATGGACGAATCCCTTTAAACAGGGCTGAACACAAACTGCCCAGAGCTGGAGAACTGAAATTGATGGACAAGAAAATTCACATCCAGAACAAAGGAGTTTCCTGCCAAAAATGCAGGAAATCATGGCCAGCTTTCACCAAAACTTGCAAAGAATATCTGTAAAGAATGGTCCAAATAAGGTATTATGTTGACTTAATTGTAAAATCTCTCTCCAATTTTTTAGATGCTATGGCAATCAGATAATTAAATAGCTGATGACAGCTGAATAATTAAATCTGCTATTTAAGATTCAAATAGTAAATAATTTTAGAAATAGAATTTAGTCTTAAGAATAGAATTTTAGAAATATATGTAACTTTTGTTTAGATTTTTGTTATTAACCCATCCGATGTTGAAATTCTTCTTCGCTGCCTGTGATGCCATGTTGAATTCTGTCAATGTTAAGCCTAACAAAAATTACACATTTGTGAGGACCTGGAAGGAAGTCAACATAGAGATCCGAATAAAGACTATTCTCTGAGGGAAACGTGGCTGGAGGGAGTCATATTTAGTCATGAAATGGACCTCTCCCACACCTTCCAATCGGTTTCAAATTGTCACCAGGTGATGAGTCGGGACCAATGAAAAGGCAGCTTTAGGGGAAAAACTTATAAAACGGCACATTTCAAGGACAGAAAGTTCTAGGTACATAGTGCTCCCCTCCTGGATTTTGAGCTCCTGTCCTTCAACAATGAAAACTTGTTCGACGTCCCAGAATTCGTTTTTGCTATCCCATCCCATCAAGATTCACCCAGGTAACAACTAGTCATCGAAGGTCATCTCTGCAAGTTGTGCTGTGTGCCCCGGGCTGTTGCTCTCCTCATCACCTTCGCCAGAAGAAACGGAATGATCACCAAAACATTTGGACTTTTTTTTTTAACTGACTTGTTTCCCACTGTTGGATAGGCATTACACCTCATTATATGAATAGTTGTAAGGAAATTTATATATCTATTAAATGGTTTTAAATGGTAAACCTGTCTCTGTGAGTCTTTCCATGCCCACACAACTGTTTTGACTGCTCGATTGTCGTAACATTTTTCACCCAATCAGCTAACCTCACACATATTTTAAAAAAGTAATCGTGACTATTTTATCATCCAAATTATGTTTTTATTTTTCAGAAACAAAATAGATATACAGTAGAGCGTCGATTTTCCGAAAGTCAATCATCCGAAAGAATTCCAGTCCGCAAATTTAAATTTTCGCCAGTGCTGTGGCGCTTCAATCTTTGGCTGTGTCTTGGGCTACTCAAATATTTTACGTTTTT